CCCCCCCCGGTGGCTGAAGCAGGGGACAGGGTGATTGAAGGGTGGGAGTCCGTAGCGAACACACCGAACGGCGAAAAAAAAAAAAACGAACGGCAGACAGAGTAGTGGGAAAGAAGGTGGTGTGCAAACGATATGAGGTATCGTTATATTTAGTGTTGGGATGACGAGCTGAAAGAAGAAATAGGGGAACGTAGAGAAGTCTTCAAGCAGTACCTGTGTGAGGGGTCTGAGGGNTAGAGAAGTCTTCAAGCAGTACCTGAGTGAGGCGTCTGAGGAGAGTTGGGAAAAGTACAGGGCCAAGATGAAACAGGTGAAGGGACTAGTGAAAAAGAAGAAAAAGTGCATTTGGGACGGCGAAGAAGTGCAGAAAGCCAACGGAGGCCTGGAGGGGAACGTCAAGCAGATGTGGCAAGGGATTAGTGGGATAGTAAAAAAGACCGCGCATGGGGGGGATGCAGGGGTAGCACCTTCGCGAGGTGTGAACGGTGGACTAGTCAGAAGTGGGAGGGGGGGAAGGGAAGTTCTAGCAGGACACTACAAGAGACTTGGAGTCCTTCGGAGAATGAAGCTTTTGACCAAGTGTTAAAGGAGGTGGACGCATGGGCCCAGAAAGAAGAAGAGACAACGAAGGCAAACGTTGGGAACGTGGAACTAGAAAAGGAGTTCACTGAGGACGAGGTTGAGGCGTGTGTGAACAAGCTGAAGTGCCACAAAGCAGCAGGAGCGGATGGGATAGTCAACGAGTTCATGANAGAAGAGACATCGAAGGCAGACGTTGGGAACGTCTAGAAAAGGAGTTCACTGAGGACGAAGTTGAGGCGTGTGTGAACAAGCAAGCCGCAGTACCATAAAGCAGCAGGAGCGGATGGGATAGTCAACGAGTTCATGAAGTGTCGGAGGAGGGGGGTGATCCAGCTGATGGTATTGCTGTACAACTGGGTGTGGACAAACAAGTACAGATAGCGCCCGCACTTGAAGAAAAATTATCTTCAGCAAACAATGCTCAACTTTGAAAGAAAAATAAGACAAAAGGGCTAAGAAACGCAGCTCAATCTCGGCAACAACATAAGAAACGCCCCAACAAGAAACATGATGGTGCGATTCCCCCCAAGACGTAGGAAACAAGGGATAGGTGGGGGAGTGCGTCCAGTAAGAATCGTCCCACTGCTGCTCCTTCGGTGCTCCCACCCCCCTACCTAGCTGAAGAGCGCATGTTCTTTGTAGGGGGGAAAGTGGTACTGCCACACATCGTGGACTGGTCGTTCGACCCAAAAACAAGGGATTGAGGCTCGACCTGATTTTGACGTTTCTTAACAGCGGGCGCTTTCTGTATGCGCCAAGTAGATGGGGGAAAGGAGTAGTTGTGAACTCGTTTAAGAAGGGAGACAAGACTGACCCAGGAAGCTACATNGTGCTGAAGAAGATGACAGAGTGTACGAAAAGCGCGGTCATGCTAGACGGAGAACTGTCAAAATTCTTCGACATTGAGCAGGGGGTCCCACAAGGTTGCACGCTGTCCCCAACATTGTTCCAGGTGTTCATTAACGATCTGTTGGAAGTCGTAGAGGCAGTCCGGAAGGGAGTAAAAGTAGGGGACACGGAAACGTCGGTGTCAGAAATGCTGTTTGCGGATGATTTTGTCGGTACGTCGGACACCCCT